GTATAAGATTGAACCTATTTAATTTAAATCCTAGAGTTTGCCGGATAGACATAAATTTGCTCTTTTGTTGTCTCATAACTTTAAGCAATAGCGTAATCTTCAAATAGAGGTGTATGACATGACACTGGTGTCAGTCCGTTCCATATTCTGTATTCTTAAGAGCCCGTTTGGATATAAGAAATTTTTTTCTTTTTTTAAAAAAAATTCATTTTTTTCCGAAATCGGCTTTTGTTCACAAAATTTCTAATTTTCACTCTAAGATGCATTTTGGAAATTTTCGAAAATTTGAAAAACTCCAAAAATCTGTTTTCCAAAAATTTCACTCAAATCACTCACAAAACTTCAAAAACAACCAAAAATTATATTCATGTCCAAACACAACTCTAAATTTTAAATAACTTTTTCACTTAAAAAAATTTCTCCCTATTTTGAAAATTTACAATTCTTATGTCCAAACGCCTACTAAGATTTCTCGAGTCTTCAAAGACATGACTAAGGCCGTATTGTGGGTCGGGCCCAGCCCGGGACCGCTTGCAAACGGGCCAAACGGGCCGGTTCAAATGGGTCGGTCCTTACCGATCCTAAAAGCCTACATTGGGTGGTCCTCACCAAATAGCCCGGGACCGGCAGGCGGGCCTGAGCCGGTTTAACCGGGCCCAACGACTATTTTTAAAAAAAAAATTAAAAAAAAGGCCAACGGTCTGAAATTTAAAAAGTAGCCGTTGGCCTGCAATTTTAGCCGTTTGCCATTTTCAAAAATAGTCATTTGGCCCTCAAACTTTGTTTTAACCCCAAACTTTTTATAATTACATTTTTTCCCTATTCTCAACTATAAATACCCCCTCATTCTTTCATTTTTACTCACAAATTCATCAATCTCTCTCTAATTTTATTCTATAATTGCTTACTTTATTATTGCAATTTCGTGAAAAATTGTGAAGTTGGTGAATTGAAGTATTCAAGTCTTCAACGATATTCAATTTTCAAGAAGTTGTTCGTCAATTTGGTAAACTCGTTCTAACTCTTAAGTTTTAATATTATAGTTTTGTTTGTTTTAGTTAGTATAATTATAATTACTATGGACTTTTCTTTGAAAAAAATATTTGGTGGTAAGGATAAGGGAAAATCTAAAATTGGTGAATCTAGTCGCCAAACTGCTACTCTTCCCCCGGCTCCCCGACCTAGACCTGTTACCCGTCCTCCTCCACCTATTATTCTTGATAGTGATAACCCTTGTTTTCAATTTTCCGATAGTCAATTTTGCCATGATGTTGCACCAGGTCAACAATTAAATGATGAAGTTATGAATGCTCTTTATCCTAATCAAACTATCTTTGAAAATGATGAGAAAAATGATGATTTAGATGAAACACAACCGGATTTAGATGATATACCTACTAGTCCTGTTAATAATACAACTGATAATAATCCAAATAATGCCCTGCCTGACCCTCATGTATTAACCCCTACTTTTAATAAACAACCTTCTAAACGGACCGAAACATCTCTTATTTGGCACTTTTTTACTCAACTAAGAGAACAAAATAAGGCTAAGTGTAAAACTTGTGGGTCTTTGATGGCTCATAAATATACTGGAGACCGTAGTGGTACGGGTACTTTGGCTAGACACATAAAGAAACACCCTAGAGATAAAGCTAGATATTTACAAATGAAAGCTGCGCAAGAGGGGACAAGTGTAAATACTACAGTTAACCCTAGTACAGGGTCAAATCTAGTTCAACTGGGAATTAACATTGTTACCGGTGACATTTTATATTATGATCCAAATAAAGATCGTGAAGAATTGGCAAAAATGGTTAATGTTATGTGCTTAACCTATAGTTTTCCTTCTAACTCTCATTTTGTGCATTATATTAGAAGAGTTTTTAATCCTACTTATAAAGGATGGCCTCGCGCAACCGTGAAGAGCGATATTTATAAATATAAACATGAATATGAACAATATTTGCGCTATTTATTTACTCATATAGATTGTCGCATTGCTATTACTACTGATATTGGTAGAAATGGTAATGACTGTGATTATCTAACCGTTACAAGTCATTGGATAGATGAGGACTGAATAATGCAAAAGTGCATTATTGCTTATAGAATAATTAATTCACGCCACACAGGTTTATTGCTAACACAGTTGCAGATATTTATAGATGTTTTTGCATTAGAGATAAAATAATGTCGGTTTCAATGGATAATGCTTCTAGTAACACTAATGCTATAGGCTTGCTTACAATTACACTAAATCCGGCATTTAGTAATATTTTTCATGTTAGATGTATTTGTCATATTTACCATTTAATCGTCGGTGATGGTATGAAAATTTTAAATGTAGAAATTGAAAATGTTAAAATGGCTCTTAATTAGTTTTTTTATTTAACCCGTAGAAGTAGACTTAGAGAATATTTTAAAAAATGTGATGAATTTGGCCTTAGAGAAAGAAAGGTTCCTAAATCTTGTCCAGACTAGATAGAATCACATATATGAAAGTTTAGTTGTTGCATATGAATATAGAAACCCAATAAACACAACGTATAATGCTCGTGTTGATGGTGGTGATGATGATGATGATGATGAGCACCTTACAAATCAAGATTGGACTAATGTTAAAATGCTTGTAGACTTTTTAGAACAATTTCATGTTGCTACAGATGAATTATCTGGACAATATTATCCTACTATTTCTAACTGTTTAGTTTATATTGCAGCACTTGCAGATTTATTTACTCAATTTTCAGAGGGTGGGGTAATTTATCAACATGCTATTGATTCTATGAAAGCTAAGTTTAAAAAATATTTTTTCCCTATCCCCCCTATTTTTGGTGTTGCTGCCATGTTAAATCCTACAATAAAATTAGGAGGTCCTCACTTTTGGTACACAAAAATTTATAACGTTTTATCACTTTTAGCTGAGGAATTTGCCACACTTGGAGATGCAAAAGCCTCAATTAAAATAAATGCTCAAACAATTTATAATGCTTATCAACTTGCCTTAGATCATGCTAGACCAAATGTTCCAACTCCTACTTCGTCTAGTTCGCAATCATCTAAAAGAACTGCGGGCCTAAAAGCCCTTAGTTCTTGGACGGAGTTCAGGGGTTCTCAAGGTGATAATATTGGTGATAGTTCACAACTAAATGAGCTTCAAGTTTATTTGTCACAGGGACTTGAATCAGAGAATCCCCGCAGCTCCTTCGATGATTTGGAATGATGGAAGGACAAACAAAAACACTATCCGGTTCTTTCAAGGATGACTCGAGATATTTTAAAGTGTTCAAGCTTCAACAGTGGCATCAGAGAGCGCTTTCAGTCAAGCGAGACTTCAAATAGGTGACCATAGAGCGTCTATGAGGGAGATCTTAGAAAAATCAGTACTCTTCAGATATTGGATCCATTCGGAAAGAAGAAATTTTGGACTTGCAGAATCACAACAGGAGATAGACGAAGCTTATGAAGAAATGCTAGCGGAACTTGCGCAGGATGCTGCTTCACCCGAAAGCGATGATGAACAAGCTTCTTTTCCACCACCACCAACGAAAATTCCTCCGGACCTTGAAGGATTATGAGATTTGTTAGAGATAATACATAGACTAATATGTAACTTGTATTTTGGCACATCTTCCTTAGTTTTTTTCCTTTTAATGGTGGTATTAGTACCTTGTTGTGCTCATTCCATTGGGGGGAGAAGACTAAGAAAGATATTGCCATTTTTTGTTAATGTCGTAATAATAAAAATTATAAGACATTCCCTTGAATATTTCTTTGTAATTTATTTTGTGTTTAAATTTGATATATTATATATCTAATACATGTAAACTATATATATATATATATGAAGGATTATGAGATTTGTTAGAGATAATACATAGACTAATATGTAACTTGTATTTTGGCACATCTTCCTTAGTTTTTTTTCCTTTTAATGGTGGTATTAGTACCTTGTTGTGCTCATTCCATTGGGGGGAGAAGACTAAGAAAGATATTGCCATTTTTTATTAATGTCGTAATAATAAAAATTATAAGATATTCCTTTGAATATTTCTTTGTAATTTATTTTGTGTTTAAATTTGATATAGTATATATATTATATATCTANCAATATATATACATACTATATTTATTATATATATACTTAATATATATATATATAGTATATATAGTTTACAAGAAATTGTCTTAGATAAAAAGAAAATTAAAAAAAAAATAGCCCGGAACACTTAGGCCCGTGGGCCGGCCCATTTAGCCCCGGGACCATGTGGGCTTAGGCCCACAGTGGGCCGATTCCACCCATCCAAACTGTTTGCCCGGGACCGCCAAAGCCCGGCCTGCCAAAGCCCGAGACCATTTGGCCCGGGACCGTTTGGCCCAACCCGTTTATCCCATTTAGGTCCGGGCCCAGCCTAGGCCCACCTTAGACATGACGTGTGTGGGGACCCTAAAGGCAGCAGACATTCTTAAATGCAAGCTAATTAAGGATATACAAAAAGTTTTAGTCCTCGCTCGTAATAGACATATCTAGGATTTGAAATATATGAATTTTATAATATTTTTAGGTTAATAGATGTAGTAATTATAATCGGTTCATAAATGAATATTTTATATATATGTATATATATATTTAATGAATTTCTTAATATGTATACAAAGTTTGGACAAAATCTATTAAGTCTGGTCAATCCATAAGTTACAAAGCTAAGATAAGCCTCTAAATACACCCTCAAACTTAGTTTTCTAATGTATGTAGTACTTTTTTAAGACTACGAATCATTTTGGATACATCCTCTTCTATTTTTCCATTTTATATTGAGGAGGAAATTGTTTAATCAGATTTGTTCGACAAAGTCGGGCCCAAGAATCAATTTAACTTTGGCATATTACACCTGCTCTTTATAATTTTGCTGTGTAATGCATATAAATAGCCATAGCCATAGCCATAACCATAAACACAGAAAATATTGTAAGTTTTGGTGGTAATTTAACTGAAAATGGCAGCTGAGAGAGTTGTAGAGATTAAGAACAAGCAGGTGTTATTTAAAGATTACGTGAGAGATTCCCTAGAATCAGATATGTGTATAACTACAGAGAAAACAATAAGTTTGAGAGTCCCAGAAGGAACAAAGGGAGTTGTTGTTAAGAATCTCTGCTTGTCTTGTGATCCTTACATGCGTAACCGCATGAATAAATCTGAGATTGATGGCTTCTTCAGTTCTTACTCCCCTGGTTCTGTATGTATATATTCACATTTCCCTCTATTTTTGTGTGCTTGTTTAATTTTAATTCTTTAGTAGGAGTACTATTTATGTGTTTGACAGGGCACGGAGTTTAAAAGAAATGAAAGACTTCTAAAATATGTGATCTTAAACATGTCATGAATTTCTATTACTATAAAAGTATGCATGTATGTCATCGAGGAAAAATAGAAAGTTTAAAATTAAATTATTTTCAAATATAAAAATATGTCACTTATTTTGAAATAGATTAATAAAAAGAGAATACGACATAAAATGGCTGAGAGAGTACATAAAAGACCTCCAAGGAGTTCACACGAACTCAAGTTTAATTTATTATTACTCTACAATTTATCCTTTGAACCGTGTGACCACCTCATGTAAGCTTTTAAATGGGGGTGTGGTTACATAGTTTAACATGATATATGAGTAGATAAAAGTTCTTGGGATCAAATAGAATCATTATCATTCAAGAACCAAAAAATATTTTCACGTGAATAATCAGAACCACACACGAGGGGATATGCGAAACATTATATTAATATAATCAAAAACGTGTTTTCTCTAACAACGGAAGTTTTTAAATAAGGTGGTCATGCAAAACTTAATCTATTTAAAAGGGTTATATCATGCATGCATATTTTTGTACGACTGTTGATTTTGCCATCAATATTTATTGGCGGATGGTGATTGATCACGCTCAATTATGTTTTATAAAAAGAATAAAGCGGTCGTTGCAAATATAATCTGATTTACAAGTCCGGAGTCGAATCCCACAGAAAACTAAGGCTTAGCTACAGTTGTTCACTATCACCAAGAATACAAGCTTGAACAATTCCTAACTTATAGATATTAAGATTCTTGTGTTTAACTAGCTAACTAACAAATTAAAATAATAAATTAACACTAAAGATACTACAGGTTGGAGAAAAGATTAAGGAGGTCTAGAGTTATGATTTTCCTAATTGTCGGAATCTTTCCCACTATGTCTTCTATAATGTCGCCTAAGTATTCTCTACCGATCATGAGCGTCTGTGTGTTGTAATTCTCTCCCGAGTAATTACGACAATTTATTAGACATACTCTCCCGAGTTACGCTAGCTGGCTTTAATTACAACTCACTTAGATCGCACCCAAGATTTCGTTATCCCTAATCCCATCTTTAAACCCTTGGTTATTGATTCCTCACATATCTCGGGAGTGATGTTGTTCAACAACTACCTAAATATGCACTCTCTCCCGAGTAATACATACTAAATAGGCACAGCTAATTGAGGGCCCTTCAATCAACCATAAGAATAATATAGTTGAACAAATAGAGAAAACACTACGGCTCAATTATATAAAAACATAACAAGAATTTATCCTACAAAAGGTTCCATCAAAACCTTAGATAACAAATTAGCTATTCATAATAGTATGTAAAACTACAATACTAAAAGTCATAACCAACAATGAAAAATAGGAAGAAGGAAGTGAGAAACTTGTAGAAGAATTCTCCGCCTTGCTCCTAATGTGTTCTTGCCTCCTTAGGTAGAATCCTCGGTCTCCTTAGCCTCCTTAGGTCTAAATTATGTCAAAAGTATGTCAAAGGTCTTCAAAATACCGTTTTTCCATGTATATATACCAAGTAGGGTTGGGCCCAAACAATTACACCTTCTCCTACGCGAAAAAGGACACATTTTCCGGACAGGACATGAGTGGCCGCGCTTAGACCGTGCATATCCACTTTGATTCTGCCTGACTAGCGTGGCCTAAGCGCGTCCGCGCTATTAACGCGCACTTTTCACCCTGATCCGTTTGGAATTTGGAAAAACGTAAAACATGAAAGTTGTATCCCTTTGAGTTATAGCTTTCCAACTATATATTGTGGAGCACAAATGGAGTTCTGAGCAAAAGGTTATGTGCATTTTACTAGACAGTGCGCAATATGCCTACTCGATTCTTCGTTCGCTTTAACTATCATCCGTTGACCTCCGAACACGATCCCGACTTAATTCCTTGAGCTTTTACTCATGCTTCAAAGCTCCAAATCACTTGAATTCATTCCATAATATTTACATAGCTCGGAATCACTCCTACAAGGCATAAAACACACAGTTACTGCAAAACACTAGCAATTAAAGCTCAAACTCAATTAAAGTGCAGTAAATTAGAGTGTAATAAGTGATTAAAGTACATAATTATAGCCTATCATCAGTGATGGTAGTGGCCCTTTGATATACACAAGTTAAAGGAAAACCAATAAATATTTAACGTGCATGTGCATGCATGGAAGGGCAGCCCGGCTCACAAAGCATCCAATGTTTATACAGGGTCGGGGGAAGGCCGCACTCCAAGGAGGTGTGATGTATGCAGTCTACCTTGATGCAAGCGTCAGTACTTGATTCCATGGCTTGAAGCCGTAGAATTTCTTTGTACTGAAAAATTTGCAATATGTTTGTTTATTCTGTTATATAAAAAATTTTGTGAACAAGTTTTTCTGGAAACAGCCAATTACAGGATTTGGAGTAGCTAAAGTGATTGACTCAAGGGATACAAACTTGAAGAAGGGTGACCTAGTATGGGGAACAACTGGCTGGGAAGAATACACTTTCATAGAACCTACTAATGCTCTTTTCAAAATTGAACATACTGATATACCTCTTTCCTACTATACAGGAATCCTTGGTAAAGTTTCAACTTTTGTTATTGAAGGAATATTTTTTATATTAATAGTTTGTGAAATTCTCTCTTCATCTGCCAGAATTGCTTAGCTGAGAATCCAAGATTTTGAAATAATGAATTCTGAAAGTTTGAATTTTGTGTACCTTAATTGGGGATGACTGGTTTAACGGCATATGCTGGATTTCATGAAGTTGCTAAAGCAAAGAAAGGAGAGAAAGTATTTGTATCGGCGGCATCGGGGTCAGTTGGGCAGCTTGTTGGTCAATTTGCTAAATTGATGGGTTGCTATGTTGTTGCGTGTGCTGGGAGTATTGAAAAAGTAAGCCATTTTTTATTATTTTATCTAGCTTTTATTTTATAGCACCAAATTCATAAAATTGATTTTTGCGACGAACAAATAAGTTAACTCTATATGCTTGGCGGTTTAAATATTTTTCACTATCAGTACATAAAATTGTAAAAATTGCATGGGGCGGCCTATTTGGTCGCCACCATTTAACCTATACCCATTTGTTTTTTAAATTTTTAACTTGTACCCACTTTTTAAATAATTTCAGCCTCCTTTTTCCTCATCCTTCTACTCCTCAAAGTTATATCCGCCTCTTCTTTCTCAAACTTCTCCTTCTCCCTTTTCTGCAAGAAATCTGTTACGGCTATGTATAAAATTGACTATAGTTAAAACCACTAATACATCTCTGTACAAAAGTACCAGAAATTTGCCGCTGAGATCAGTTTAGTTCGTTGGTTTGCCATCATCTCTTCTTTCACAAGTGAACAGATGTAGTTAAATGTCTTCCTTGAAAGTTTGAACAAAGATTCAAATGTAACTGAATTTCCTTTCTGTACTGAAGTCCTTGAGAAGCAACAAATAGAAAGAGGTCATATTTCATTGGCTGTAATTTGCTGAGACTAAAGAGGTTCAAGTTTTCGGCCTTTTTTTCTGAAACTGTTTGCAACCAGGACGACATTTCTCTTAAAAATGTCCAATTGATCTTTTGATATCATATATTGGAAGAGCAAAGCTTAGAACTTCAGCTCTAGAAGTTCACCAATTACAAAAACAAAAACTTCGCCAGTTACAAACAAAAACTTCAGTTCTAGAGCTGAAGTTCGTCAGTTACAAAACAAAAACTTCTTCGCCAGTTACAAAAACAAAAACTTCAGCTCTAAAGCTGTAGTTCGCGAGTTACAAAACAAAAACTTCAGTTCTAGAGCTGAAGTTCGTCAGTTACAAAATAAAAACTTCAGCTCTAGAACTGAACTTCAGGCCCGGCTACTAGAATGCTGAAGTTTTGTGTGATTGCATTTGCTACTTCAGCCTCGTATGCTGAAGTTATGCGAAAAAGCGGGTACGCTTCCAATTTTTTTTACAAAGCTGACACAAGTTAAAACGTAACACAAAAAGCAAGTATAGATGCAAATGCCCTCATAAAATTTAGACACCGCACTTAATACTCGACATATTTCACCATCATATTATTGTGGTATTTTGTGTGAATTGAGAAATGCGCTTTTAATTTTCTAGAAAGAAGTGGTGCAACATGGATATTATATAAGAGAATCCATAACTCATATGGTAACTTATTTATCCGCAATTATTTAGTAAAGTCTTTTTTTAATAGGAAAGTCACTTAAATCATGCTTATAACACTTAGTTGGTCGCTCAACTAGATTTCTCAAGCTTTTCGATGAATAAATACTTATTTTACCCTTTAAATTGTCAAGTTTTATCGTTATTTATTTTTAAAATATTATGATATTTTTTCTCTTTTTAATCTTTATTATGAACTTACGTATAGAACAAATAAATCGTATTTATAAAGTACAACAACAATAACAATAACCCAGTGAAATTTCATAAGTAGATTCTGGGGAGGGTAGTGTGTACGTAGATCTGTAGAGATGCTGCTTCCGATATTCCAATATTATATATGCTAGCAAATTATTTTTTACCTTTTTTACTTTATAAATAAAATTTATTTGTTCTATAGGTAAGTCCATACTATAGTAAAAAGAGAAAAAAAATATAATATTGAAAAAGTAGAAAAAATAGCAGTTGATAATCGGGTAAAATAGGTATTTGACTACCGAAAGTTTGAGAAATATGGTTGAATGATCTTCCATATATTATAGGCGTAGTTAATTGACTTTTTCGTTACAAATAAAAGAAATATAATTTCACTAAATAATTTCGAATAATTAGTAGGGGCGGCTCAAGGGGGAGGCTAGTAAAGTTTTAGGGGCCCAAAAATATTTTTAGTTATGAATTTTTTATCTTATTTTCGCTTAGACAATATTGAAGTTTATATAAATAAAAAATAAAAAAATCCTTATAAAAGCAAAAAAGAACTGTCTAGTTTTTAACAATACAAATCTTCTAGAAATTTGAATGAAGATACTCAAATCTTCGGATTGATAAATAATATTTTTTACAGTAAGATCTAAGGTATGCATTTTAAATACGTTCTAACATCTTATTAACGTGAATTTTCTTACCAATATAAATATTATATTATATTTTATAAGATAACTACAATATAGACATAAAGAACGAAGAAAAAAAACCAACGTAAATATTAATATTATATTTTGTAAGATAACTACACTATAGATAAAAGAAAGAAAAAGCCCCTTAATAAAATTTGACTTTAGGTCACGAGTTTTGTTGAGACGTCCGTGATTATAAGTGACCATTTAAATAACGAACTCTTCTATGAAGTGTGGAAGCCTACTTGTGTTTCTGCGAATGGATTCAGCATTTTCGAGCATTTTTTATTTTATATGATAAATAGGTACAATTGAGTTAGTTTGCATTTGAAAAGTAAGTGTTATGATTCTTGTACAATAAAGTAAAAATTGGATGATCGAAATTAACCCTTGAATGTCTTATTCTTGGTAACATTATCAAAGAAGATGAACCCTTATGCAATCACTTTATTTTTGCTTTACCACAAAAAAAATGTACATAGTCTTATGTGTTCATCTGGATTCATTTTGTTTATATGTTTCTTGACAAGGTTGATCTATTAAAGCACAAGTTTGGATATGATAATGCTTTCAATTACAAAGAAGAGCATGATCTAGATGCTGCATTGAAGCGGTAAATATGACGTACTAAAATTTTATTGTATTAGCTTGTAACGTTAATACTGAATAATTAATTAGTCAAGTCTATATTTTGATATTTCTTTTTATTATCAACCGAAAAGGATCAGAACTGCTTTTATACTATACGAAATAAAATAATTTTACCCTCCATTAAAATTTGATATCAAATCTACCCTGTCAGGACCAAAGTAGCTCACTCATTTTTACACTTTTTAAATCCCAATTTTTTTCTTCATCGTGTTTAAAATATCCTAATCACCCTCCGCCCCCTTTTTTTACCGGCCCCCCTACCCCCTTACTTTTATACCCCACCCAGCCCCTTATTTTATTTTTTTATTTTTATTTCTTATTTCTCTTCTTTTATTTTCATTCTCTTTCTTCTTCCTCTCTCTTCAACCTTCATTGAAGACCTTCTTTCACCAAATTGAATTACTGTGATTGAACAGGAATATAAGTAAAACTAAGACAAATAAATTAAGCTCACTACACAACTGATTATGGGAATAATCAACCTTGCTCTTTAATTGAATTAATGAAAAGGACTGAAACAATAAATGAGAACAAAGAAGATAGAGGATAATTAATTTTTCTTTTCTTATTCTATTTTGTCTAAAGAAAATAAAAATTTCTTGTTGTTCCAATTTTCTCAAATTAGGGAATCTTGAAACGAAGCTACTAAGCCCATTAAATGAAGTCAAGGGATTTGCTTACAAAACTATATTTTTCCTTTAGATCTTTTCTTTTTTTGCTAAAAAAACTAGCAATTGCAGGTCAAGTTGGTTCTTAATATTTGATTGACTTTTCACCTAAAAGCAAGAGAACAAATTTGTTTGACTCTTTAAATTTTCATTTTAAGTAGAGTAGATATATTGGATTTTGGATAATAAATTCCTAATTTGCTTTAGCTATCAATAGAACCAATAAAATAAATTTTTGGGCTCTTTGTGGAGCTATGATGAAGTTCTTTAATGGAGGTTAAAAAGAGAAGGAGAAGAAAGAGAAAAAAATGAAAGAGGAGAAAAAATAAAAATAAAAATAACGAGTCGGGTGGGGTATAAAAGTAAGGGCGGGTAAGGGGTCTACTAAGAAAAGGAAGGCGGAGGGGGAGGGTGATTAGGACATGTAGCATTTTAAATCGGATTAAGAATATGATTGGAGTTTAACAAAAATAAGTCTGTTAGTCTAAGGGCATAAATGACCTATTTTAGTCACGGCATGGGCGATTTTGATAACAACTTTTAATGCATAGTAAAATTGTTCTATTTCATATAGTGCAAGAACAGTTTTGACCCCTTTCTGTATTATTAATTATCACAGATACTTTCCTGAAGGGATTGATATCTACTTTGAAAATATTGGGGGAAAGATGTTGGATGTTGTGCTTCTAAATATGAGAAATTTTGGTCGGATTGCTGTGTGTGGAATGATCTCCCAATACAATCAAGAAAATCATGAAGGGATTAAAAATTTGATGGAAATTATCTATAAGCGCGTCCGAGTTGAAGGATTCCTTTACTTTGACTACTTACTTCAATACTCAAAGTTTTTAGAAACTGTATTACCTCTTATTAGAGAAGGGAAAATGGATTACATTGAAGACTTAGCTGAAGGTCTCGACAATGGCCCTGCTGCACTTGTGGGGATATTTAGTGGCCACAACATTGGAAAACAAGTGATTAAAGTTGCTCACGAGTGATCTTCCTCATTGTTTATTTAATTTGCATTTCTCTATGCCTCCAATGAGTTAGTTTTGGCTTTGTTTGTCGTAGCTTGACTGAACTTTAATCAGTTAAAGCATTTATATCAATATTAGGGAGTGTTTGTACTAGAATAAGATCATCGTGATAAGAATAAATTATTCTTGTGTTAAAATAGCGGAGCGTCCGTAATATAAGACGAGAAGCTTATGTTCTTTTATGTGGTTAAAATATGAAAAGACGCTGCCAAAAAATACATTTTTTCGGCATGAAAAAACCGACTAACAATACCGGATGCTTTTGATTAATTTTTTGAAAATATATTTTAATTTTTTTATGAAACAGACCGAATTGCACCAAAATGCAAAAAATCATTTTTTCAAATATTCGACTGGTAGTGCGTATTATGAAATTTATTTCCAACAAATCGACCAACTTCGATTAGTCTTTATGATGACGCAAAAAGTCATCACTTGTTTTAAAAATAAATTCTGTATTCCGAGGCCTTAAAAACCTCTTTCTGCACCACCTCGATTTGCGTACGCAGTCGGGGGCGTATAGCCGAAAAACCAATATGTGGAAATCTGTGAAAAATGATGAGTTTTGACTTTAAAATGAATTTAAGTTGACTTCGGTCAACATTTTGTGTAAACGGACCCGGACCCATGATTTGACGGTCTCGGAGCGTCCGTAGGAAAATATGGGACTTGGGCGTATGCCCGGAATCGAATTCTGAGGTCTCAAGCCCGAGAAATGAATTTTTTAAAGAAAATTATTTTCTGGAATATTTATGAGTTTTTGGAAATGAAATGTGTTTAAAACGTGATGGTATCGGGCCCGTATTTTGGTTTCGGAGCCCAGTACAGATTTTATATGTGATCTAAGATGAGTCTGTGAAATTTGGTAAGAAACGGACTTGAAATGACGTGAACCGGACCGTATTTGAGAAAATTGGGAAAAAATTGAAGTTCTTAAGTGATTTCATGATTTTAATGCTAAATTCATATTTGTCAATGTTATTTTGGTGATTTGAATGCATGAGCAAGTCCGTATGATGTTTTTAGGTTGGTGTGCATGTTTGGTTTGGAGCCCCCAGGGCTCGGGTGAGTTTTGGATAGGCCACAAAGTAGAATTGGACTTGAAAAAAATTGCAGGTTTCAGCTATTCTATTGCAGGCCTGCATGCGAAGCCTGGCTCGCAAATGCGAGGGTTGGGTCGCAAATGCGAACTAGCCCAGGCCAGCCTTCCCTCGCAAATGCGAGTTTTTCATCGCAAATGTGATGCCCCCCCAGTTACTGCCTTAGTCGCAAATGCGACTCCTGTACCGCAAATGCGACTTCGCATTTGCGAGAGGTTTATCGCAAATGCGAAGAAGATCGGAAAATAGACTAGGTCACAAATGCGACATTTTGTTCGCAAATGCGAAGGTCTCAGAATTCTGAAGGGTTCGCAATTGCGAACACCGGTCGCAATTGTGACATCAGACACCTGTAAATTTATACTTAGACGCATTTTCAACAATTTTTCACACTCTTTCAAAACCAAAACACCCTAGGGCGATTTTTCAAAGACAACTTCTTCTCCAAATCGATTGTAAGTGATTTCTAACTAGTTTTCTTCAATCCTTAACATCTTTTTACATGATTTCAACTCAAAATCAATGATTTTCATGGGGGAAATTGGGTGTTTTTGGTAGAACCTAGGTTTTTCAAATTTTGGGGATTTGGACCTCGATTTGAGGTCTGATTTCAAAACAAATTACATATTTGGGTTCGTGGGGGAATGGGTAATCGGGTTTTGGTTCGAACCTCAGGTTTTGACTATGTNATTTGACCATGTGGGCCCGGGGGCAATTTTTGACTTTTTGGGCAAAATTTTGAAAAAATTATTTTCATGCATTAGAATTGATTCATTTAGCATTTATTGACGTAATTGAGTAACTTGTGGCTAGATACGAGCGAATTGGTAGTGGAATTAAGAGGTAAAGCAATAATTGAGACTTGAATTGTTTTCGTGGCATCGAGGTTAGTGTTTGGTCTAACCTTAGCTTGAGTGATTAAGAGTCATGTCTTATTTGCTATGTGGTAACTGTGGAGTACGACGTAGAGGCATGGTGATGAGTATCTATACGTCGGTGTCAAGCATGCCCGTAAGTCTTGTATTGTAATTGTTATGATACGTTGTGGTTTATTGCGCTTCATATGAGGATTATTATTATTGTTCCCTTGTCGGGATGTTATTATCATTATTGTTCTCTTGTCGGGATGTTATTGTCATATTATTGTTCCCTTGCCGGGATGTTTGTTTGATACTATTGTTCCCTTGCCGGGATGTTGTTGAAATATTATTGTTCCCTTGCCGGGATGTTGTTATATTGCTCTTGTTCCCTTACCGGGATTCTTTTGTGATTGTTGTTGATTTGTAAATGGGATCAGGTGGCACGCCGCCACGAAAATATATGAAATGGGAACGGGTTGCACGCCTGCAACAAGATATATGAAATGGGAGCGGATTGCACGTCTACAACAAGATATATGAAATGGCGGGTACAGACTTTAACTTCAGAATTGGCGGTTACAAAAGCTTCTTCACACCAAGCAGAGAAAGACAAAGAGCGTCACGAGTCCTCCTTCTCAGAGCAGCTATCTAAAGCTAGTGAAGAGATCAGAGAATTAAAGGTCTTTTAAACCAAAAGGAAGTTTACGCTGGGGAGCTTGTGCAAAATTTGACTCAAGCACAGGAAGACCTCAGAATATCTGTTGATAAGGTGTGTGCTTTAGAATGCTCACACGCCTCTCTTCAAGCTTCCCACAGCTCTGCCTTGGCTGAAAATGAAGAGCTAAAAAATGAGATCGCTGCTTGGGAAAAGGATTATGAGATCCTTGAAGAAAAATCTGTTGTTGAGGCAAGTTGGGCTTTTTTGAATTCTCGTCGTGATACCCTACTTGAAGATGGACAAGAAAACTTCAACCTGGAGTTGGAGTTAGCTAAAATCAACAAAACTATTGAAAAGGCTCAACAAACTCAGGACTTCCCTTCTCCCATGGATGAAGTTCCCGTGGCTGAAGTTCCCGTGGCTATTGAAGCTAATACGAGTATCATGACTATTTCAAACTCGATCGAGCCCGTTGCTGCAAGCCAAGTTGAAGCCGCGTCTACTGATGCACCTGGCCAAATTGAGCTTGCTGCTATCGACGTTCCTGCCTCAATACCACAAACTTCTCAGTGACCAGTTTTAATCATTCAAAGGATTTTATTTTTGTTTTGATTTTGGAAGATTGTAATCAAACCCTTAACTTCATTTGAGGGTTCATTTTAGAAACGTCAGTCCCCAAGTCTTTTAATAGGGCAATCTAAACAATTTCGTAGTTTTATGACTAAGTTAGAACTTAGTCTTAGATTTTTTTATATATTAAGAAGTTTTTTATCTTAAACTTCTGCTTGCTTTATTCTCGCCTTTNCTGCAACGAGATATATGAAATGAGATCAGGTTGCACGCCTGCAACGAGATACATGAAATGGGATCGGGTTGCACGCCTGCAATAAGATGTGAAATGAAAGTGAATTCTACATTTGTTTTCCTTATCCTTGTTAGTAATTGGATTTTGGTTTCTTTGTATTCCTGTTGATATTCTGTTGTTATCTGTTATTCCCCGAAGCATGTTTTCCCCCTCCCATCTTTAACTGTAATTATCTGCTTTTATTTTTCCGTTGTATATGATTTAACTGCACAGGTTTATTTGGTAGCTGGTCCTAGCCTCGTCACTACTTCGCCGAGGTTAGGGTAGGCACTTACCAGCACATAGGGTCGGTTATGCTGATACTACACTCTGCACTGTGTGCAGATACTGGTACCGGAGCATTTGGACCACAGTGAGATTGCTGCCTTTAGTCCAACAGGCGACCCGAGGTAGTCCTGCAGACGTCCGCGGGCCTTTGTCACCTCCTATCTTTCCTCTTTCTGTTTTTACTTATTCAGTGACAGACTTATGTATTTCATTCAGACTTTGTTTGTAATGTACTTAGACTATCTGTGAAGCTGTGACTCCAGTTCTGAGTAGTATTGTACTTCAAATTATGTAGCAGTATTCAGTTGGAATATTAAGTTTCGGCTTTCGCATTTTCCGTTTGTTTAATCTTATTCCGTTGTTTAACTACTTAGTATTTTACATTGTTTAATATGTTTAAATAAAATGGGAGACAAATTCACAGTATTCGGCTTGCCTAGCTTCCACGAGTAGGAGCCATCACGACTCCCAAGGGTGGGAAATCCGGATCGTGACAAGTTGGTATCAGAGCTTTAGGTTACATGGGTCTCACAGTTCACAGACAAGCTTAGTNCGAGAGATCTACCGGAGGTAGTTTGAGCATCTCCAGCAGGGTTCTATGACCGTTACTCAGTATGAGACTAGATTCATCGACTTGGCTCGTCATGCTCTTATCATACTTCCTACCAAGAGAGAGAGTGTGTAGAGGTTCATTGAGGGACTTATCCAGCCTATTCGACTTCATATAGACAAGGAGATGGGAAGTGAGATTTCTTTTCAGGAGGCGGCCAATGTGGCCAGGAGAGTTGAGATGGTTCTATCGTAGGGAGGTGGTCAGGGGCCCGACAAGAGGCCTCATCATTCAGGCAGATTCAATGGTGCCTCGTCTGGAGGCAGGGATTCATATGGTAGTGGCCATCCTCCTAGGCCTTTTCAGTCAGCACTTCAGGTTTCTCATGGTGCTTCAGGTGGTCGTGGTTCTCATATGTAGTATTCTGATCAGCAGTCCTACAGTGCACCACCAGCTCCTATCAGTGCATCGCCGCTTCAGAGTTTTTAGGGTCGTCAGCCCCAGCAGCCGAAGGGCTTGTTTTACTTGTGGCGACATGAGGCAAATTTCTAGATATTGTCCTCGAGCATCGAGCAGCTCTCAGCATCCGGGTTCCCGTTCCATGGTTCAGGCACCGAGTGTTCCATAGCCCGCCCATCCAGCCAGGGGTGGGGGTAGAGGTGTTAGAGGTGGAGCTTAGGTAGCTAGAGGTGGAGTCCAGCCAGCTGCAGGACGTCCCAGAGATGT